GGCGGCGGCACCCTGTCGTGTGAGGTATCTACGGGGTCGTATAGTAGAGCGCATGAAGTAATGTACGGATGCCAATGAAGGGTATGAGTGTATAGAGAGAGCGCGGTGCAATCGCACTGTCCGAGACATCCAACGCGCGTAGGTACGGGGAGCAAGGACAGATGAAAAGAAGGAAAGGAAAAAAGGAGGAAAAGAAAGCCAAACTCCTCCCGAGTCGGCAAGCCATCGTCTTCTACCGAGGGCCCCAGCCGGAATAGCACCCCCGGTGCACGCGGTGGTGGTCGCAGATGGGGAAGGGGAGGACGCGGGGGGGCGAGGAGCAACCCGCCGTGCAGCGGGCTGCGGGTGGACGTCACGCATGACCAAGTGGCACCGAAATCAGGGAAAGCAATGCTTGCCGCTTCGCTCTCTCGTGCCAAGATCATCCCTGCATAATAAAGGATGGGTCTGGCACATGAACTCTTTGTAGATCTGCCTGAAAATTTGGATCACAAATTCATGAGAATAGTCTGCTTCAGTATCACAGGACATAGTGTCACGCACCCACTGTGACAAATGCAGGCGTCTTTTGGACTTACGCTGAATTCAACCGGGAGTTTCTCAAAACAAGTTCTCTTTCTGCACTGCAGGACAAGAAATCAAGTGCGATTATGAGTACACAGCTCAAACTAGCTCCATGACCGTTCGTTCCAGCACAATTTTCGACTTCACAAGCACCGCCTCCTTCATTCGCCATCCCTGCGTACCGTGGTCCTGAACACCTTCCCATCGGTTCAACCCAACGCTAATACCACAGAAGACAACTTTTTGTCTACCCGGATTACCTTGTGAAGACTCATCCGCATATTCATCCTCCATCATTACGGGGTAGAACACATCTCCGGTCGCGGCAACAATGGGCTCAAAGTGACACGAGACCACCTCCTCGTTAATGAGCTTGTTCAGCTCTAATGTTTTCGTGTCGATCAGTCGGATCTTGTCATTTATCTTGTTCAATGTATCCGTACATTGAATGGAGATACCAGCGATCTGTAAAATAGCTCTAACGAAGGACAGGGAGGTGTGCAGGGACTGCCTTTCGTGTTCGAAGGCATCTTCTTGCTGCAGTCTGATGTGTTTGCGCGACAGCGACCGCCAGCGCCCCACGACAGACTGAGGCTCTGTTCAATAAGAAGCTGATGAATAAATGCATGCGACAGTGGGATTGAGGTCGTACCTGAACACATCATGCGCCTCATAATGGCAGTCACAGTGTCGTTGTGGCTATCGCCATGAGACTGTGAGATCATGGTGGATGCGAAATGGGACATGCTAGCCTGTAATGCGAGCTGGATCAAGGTAGGGTCGTCGCCCTGGAGACCGGTGTGCAGCTTCCTGAGGACGTGGGGACTAGATACAGAGGCCAGACATTGACAGGCGCTAGATATTATGTCGGCATCGACCGTTTCACACACAGCCAGTGAAGAGTCAATGCATGAGTCGGCGATGAACGCAGCAGTCTGATAGATCTCCGCATTGAGACGCTCCAGTAGTCTGCAAACGTCGGCATCCGATACAGCGTCAGTTTTCGAGAGGAACGCTTCCGCTGCGCGCAGCTCAGCCGTGCGCGTTTTCAGCAGATCGTGCGTGTTCGCGTGCTTGGCCTCGAGCGACTCGATGGTGTGTTGCATGATTTTAAGCTGTTCTGCCTGTTCATGGATCTTGCGATTGGCGATCTGGAGTTCGCGTTCAGCAGTTTCGAGCCGAGCGCCCTGGGCTGATGTGAATCGCGGATATCTTTGTGTACCATGAGATCCACCATCATACTGTGACCTGCGCAATTTCACTGGTCTAGATGCAGCGTACTGTTCAGGAGTGAGATCGACGTCTTCGGACGTGCTTTGCAGCGATGTCTGCCCGCGCTGTTTCCTCTTTTCGAGACCCAGCCGCTCCTGCAAGTGGTCCCCAGCTTTCGGCTCCTGAGAACGTTTCGAACGTTTCCTCCTCTTGCGGGATTTCCCGTGGGAACTGTCCGTCTCGGGCTCCCTAGCATCACTGACAATATCGTCTTCGCGTGTGAGAGCTGAGGACGGTCCTTCTGACATATCGCTGTCGTCTTTGTGACTAGGACGTTTCTTGCGACGTCCGGGAGGCGTGGCTTGAGTATCTGACATATCGTAGTGGTCCCGATGTTTAAGACGCTTGTGACAGATGGGTGGGAAAGCGTGATCCTGAGGCGGATCAGGGTACATGCAACTTGGGGGGTCTGCCGACTACCCGGGGAGGCACAGTATCTGAATCCTGAGTTGCATTGTGGGTGTGTTTTAGAAGCTTCTCTGGGCGCTTTGGTAGCGAACTCAGCTCGTCCGTATAGTCATCATCGACCTCATGTTGGTCCTTTCTGTGTTGAGCCACATGTACTGCCGAGGCGTGAGCAGTGCCCGCAGCCCGCTGCACGGCGGGTTGCTCCTCGCCCCCCCGCGTCCTCCCCTTCCCCATCTGCGACCACCACCGCGTGCACCGGGGGTGCTATTCCGGCTGGGGCCCTCGGTAGAAGACGATGGCTTGCCGACTCGGGAGGAGTTTGGCTTTCTTTTCCTCCTTTTTTCCTTTCCTTCTTTTCATCTGTCCTTGCTCCCCGTACCTACGCGCGTTGGATGTCTCGGACAGTGCGATTGCACCGCGCTCTCTCTATACACTCATACCCTTCATTGGCATCCGTACATTACTTCATGCGCTCTACTATA